AAAACGAAAAAGGCGGGTATAGAGATGTTGAGATGTACGTGTTGAATGGCACGCTAGCAGATAAGAGCGAACAGTCTTGAAATGTTTGGTGTTGGTGCTGATGTTGTTGATGATGATGCTGTTGTTGGTGTTGTTGTTGGTGTTGCTGTTGGTGCTGTTGTTGCTGTTGCTGGTGTTGTTGGTGCTGTGATTGTTGTTGGTGTTGTTGTTGTTGGTGTTGTTGTTGTTGTTGTTGCTGCTGTTGTTGTTGTTGTTGGTGTTATTGTCGTTGTTGTAGTTGTAGTTGTTGTTGTTGTTGTTGTTGTTGTTTTTGTTGTTGTTGTTGTTGTTGTTGTTGTTGTTGTTGTTGTTGTTGTTGTTGTTGTTTGCTGGTGTTGTTGTTGGTATGTGTGTTGCTGTTGTTGGTGTTTTTGGTGTTGTTGTCATTGTTGTTACAGGGGGACGGTTTCGGCGCAACCCCGAAGCGCCTGCGCGTGAGCCTAATTCTCACGGAAATGCAGTTGGCGCCGAAGCGAGAGCGCCAGTGCGGATGTAAGGTGCCCCACAGTGATAATTCTCTACGAGTAAATACTCAACATGGATTAGGAAAGCTTCAGGCTTCTGGGAGACTTGAATAAAAGCGGAGAAGTACCGAACAGGACCGCCGATGCTTGCAGGGGAGGCTGCGTGCGGCGCCGAAGCGGGAGCGCCGGTCCTGCGTACACAAAAAAAAAAAATCGAGCGGGAGCGCTGATTGCGTAGGAAAACGGGCGCAGACCTCCGACAAGGCATCCTGCAGTCTTGAGGATCGGCACCAGGGACTACGGAAACCCCAGAGCCACTCGGAGTCTTGAGTCGAAGCGGACGAAGTGTCGGACGGGACCGACACTGTTTGCAGAGGGGGGCCGCTTGCGGCGCCGAGGCGGGAGCGCCGGTCCTGAGCAAAAACCGAAAAAAATATCGAGCGGGAGCGCCGGTTTTTGGGGGAAAGCCAGCTTTCAGCGGCGAGCAAGAGCCCTGGCCCCGAGTGGAAAGGGAGGAAGTCTCGAGCGGGAGCGATTTTGTTGGGGGGGCGACTTCGGCGCACCCCCGAAACGCCTGAGCGTGCAACGACAACAACAACAACAACAACAACAACAACAACAACAACAACAACAACAACAACAGCAACGACGACGACAACGACAACAACAACAACCGCAACAACAACAGCAACAACAACAACAAAAACAACAAGCACAACATCATCATCTGCCTCCTCCTCCTCCTTCCCCTCCTCCTCCTCCTCGCCTCCCCCTCCTCCTCCTCCTCCTCCTTCTTCGCCATTCGTTTCCATTCTACATAACTCCCCCCTTTCGTCCCCCCCACACGTGTCGTTAGGGAGTTTCGCTTGAGACTTCCTCGCCATGTATGATCCTGGAGCCTGAAGTTTGTAACAGTATCACGGATGAAGGGCGGACCGTTTGCAAAATGTTGCTCTCGCCTTAGCGCCGCGCACATTCGTCTTAAGGGTTCGCGGCGATTCCACTGATGGGGGGGCGGTTCCTTTTCCAAGTGTGGCTCTCCCCTCGGCGCCGCGCGCTTTCCTCTTAAAAGTTTGCAGCAGCTTCACGGATGGAGGGCAGTTCCTTTTCAAAATGTGGCTCTCATCTTAGCGCCGCGCGCATTCGTCTCAAAAGCTTCCAACAATTCACGGGTGGAGGGCAGGCCGTTGTCAAAAATGCACTCTCGCCTCAACGCCGCACACATCCGTCTTGGGGGTATACAACAGATCCAGGGATCCGTACGGCCAAAGTTCCAGGGATGGCATTCAGGCACGGCGTGAGATTGTCAGGACGCAACAGCTACACTGATTCGCTGAGTTAAAGTCCCCCCAGGAACGGCTCTCTGGTACGGTTCCAAACTGTCAGCACGCAACAGCCATGTTGATCCGCGGCGTTTGAAGTCGCAGAGACTGAGTTCTGGCACGATTGACGACAATCAAACAATTGTCTTCTAAAGGGCCGCTTCCCGCAATGAGAAAGACTTCATTAGAGACCTCCCTAGAGGAAAATTGGAAGGAGAGTGTATTGCAACATCGCTGATGCATCTAGGTTTTACACTGACCATCCTCCTCCTCCTCCTCCACCACCTCCTCCTCCTCCTCCTCCTCCTCCTACTCCTCCTCCTCCTCCTCCTCCTCCTCCTCCTCGTCTTCATTATCCCCCTCCTCCTCGGCTCGGCGCTCGGCGGCGGCGGAGGCGGGGGCGGGGGCCACACGAGCGGGCCGCCGAAGGCCCCCCCCGGCCCTGCCGCGAGCGCCCCAGCGGCCTGGGCGCTGAGTTTCCTCGGGGGCGCGGGAGTCCCGGGCTCCGGCGGGGCTTGGCAGGGAGGAGGGAGGAGGAGGCCCCAAGGGGCGGGCCGGGCAGGCGGTACATGATTGAGCAGGCGGGTGGCGAGGACGTCCCAGGCGAGACCGCGATTCATGAGCGGCGAGAGAGGGGTCTGAGGTAATCTGTCAGGAAGTGCCATGCGAGAGCGGAGAGAGCAGCGCCTGCACCATGTATAAGGATGTGTCAGGCGAGAGCGCAAGGGAGGAAGTTCAAGGTGCGAGCGCAGTTCCTGAAAAGCGAAAGCGCGATCCCATAGTAAATTGCGGGGAAGTCTTGTGCGAGAGCGGAACTCCTGAACAAACTGCCTGGAATTATCTTGCAAGAGCGGGATTTCTGACTGAAACGAAAGAAATCTCATGCCAGAACCGTTCTTGTAGCCTGGGGGCCCAGGGCACAGCTTGAGCAATATGACTTCCCCTTGCCAACAAAATGAACTGCGAGAGCCGATGAGGATGCCGACAAAAATTCTAGACGCTTCGCGTAACTCCACCAGCCCCAACAGAAACGATGCCCAGACGAGTTGTCCTGATAAGGGATGTGGAGGAGCATGCAGTGGGATAGAGGGCTGGGTAAGACGACGTATCCCAGAAGAGGGAGGATGGAGGAGGACTCGAAGGAGGAGCATGAGCAGGAGGAGGAGGGAGAGGGGTAATGAGGGTGAGTAGGGATGAGGAAGGAGGAGGAGGAGGAACAGGCGGATGAGGAGGAAGAGGGCGAGCAAAAAGACCAGAGGCCTCTTGGATACCTCTTGGAGTCTCTTCGAAGTTCTTTCGAGACCTGATTGGAGTCAGCTTGGGGCGTTTTGAGGGTCTGTGGGGGGCCTCTTGCGGCCTCTTGGGGGTCTCTTGGGAGCCTCCCGGGCACCTCTTGGGGCCCTCTTGGGGCACCATTGGGAGCCTCGGAGGCAATATAGGGGCCATCCTGGAGGAGATCAATGAAAGAAGGCGGAAGATCCAATTAGCGCTGCCCCCCCTAAGGAGGCAAGCATGCAACCAAAACCTTAATACTGACCCTCTCGCCGAAGCCTCTTGGGGCGTCCAGGGTGCCTCTGGGGGGGCACCGTGGGGACTCCTGGGGGTCTCCTGGGAGCCTCTTGGGAGCACCCTGGGAGCCTCTTCGGCGCCTCTTGGGGCATCCCGGTCACCTCTTGAGGCCCTCTTGGGGCACGCTTGGGAGCCTCGGGGGCCCTCGCGGGGCCATGCTGGGGTAGACCGACCAAAGCAGGGGGGCTCCTTACGTAAGGTCCGCCCCCGTGAAGCCAAAAGGTGGCCAAAAACTTAGTACATTGTATCCCAGTGCGACCCTACCTGGGAGTTGGAGCATTTAGGAAAGCAACATCTACATCTACACCGACAGCTGCATTTACATCTACACCTGCATCTACATCTACATCATGATCAACAGCGAGACTCACATCTACATCTACATCTACACCTACATCTGCACCGACAGCTACATCTACATCTACACCTACATCCACATCTACACCTACACCTACATATAGGCTGCGTCTTGGCGCTATGATTTGCTATGCTATGCTATGTTATACTATGATATGCTATGATATGCTGTGCTATGCTATGCTATGCTGCGCTGTGCTATGCTAAACAATGTTATGATATGATATGATAGGCTGTGCTATGCTACGATATGTTATGCTATGCTATGCTGCGCTATGTTATGATATGCTATACTAGGATATGGTATGCTGAGTTATGCGATGCTATGCTGTGATATGCTGTGCTATGTTATGTTTGACGATGCAATGCTATGCTATGCTGTGCTAATGCTGCGTTGCGCCATGCTGCGCTGCGCTAAGCTAAGCTATGCTAAGCTATGCTAAACTAAGCTAAGCTAAGCTAAGCTAGGCTAGGCTAAGCTAAGCTAAACTAAGCTAGGCCAAGCTAAGCTAAGCTAAGCTAAGCTATGATGAGATGAGATAAGCTCAGATAAGCTAGGCTAAGCTAAGCAAAGCTAAGCTAGGCTAGGCAACGCTAAGCTAAGTTAAGCTAAGCTAAGCTAGGCAAAGCTAAGTTAAGCTAAGCTAAGCTAAGCTAAGATGAGACAAGCTAAGTTAGGCTAAGTTAAGCTAGGCTAAGCTAATATGAAATAAGCTAAACTAAGGTGAGATAAGCAACGCTGAGCTAAGGGGACGTAACTGTGGGAACCGCGGGGCGGATGCCAGGGGAACCGCCCGGGGCGAGCCCCACTGCCCGGCCCCTTTAAGCCAACAGAGTAAGAACCCTTCTAGGCAGAGCCTAGGTAGGGAATCAATAATGTTGGCCTTCTCGCCGAAGCCTCTTGGGGCGTCTAGGGTGTCTCTGGGGGGCCTCTTGGGGGGGAGCCTCCTGGGTGCACCTTGGGGGCCTCTTCGGGGCCTCTTGGGGCACCCTTGGGAGACTCGGGGGTCATCTAGGAGGAAATCGCTCAAAGGATGGGGGCTCCTTAATTAGCGCTCCCCCCCCCAGGAGCCAAAATGTGGCCAAAACCTTGGTAAAATCAATGGTGTTGGTCTTCTCGCCGATGCCACCTTGGACGCCCCAACCCCTCGCGAAACCCCCCGTCCAGACCCGCCGGGAGGGGGGAGGGGAAGTGGTAAACCCTCTCCCGGAGGGGAAGCGGGAAGATGAAAGCAGAAACGGCCCATTTTTATCGAGCCACACTGGCCCCCAGGAGCCACCGCTGGGCCCGAAGCTCCGCCCCACGAAGAAGCCCACAGCTGGCGCAGCCCCCCTTTGCACCCGAAGCTGCGCGAGCAAAACCACCCACGCCCCCAAGGGCGGGCGGGAGCACTGCTCAGAAGCGGGAGCTCGACAACAACGACGACGACGACGACGACGACGACGACGACGACGACGACTACGACGACGACGACGACGACGATGACGACGACGACGACAACGACGACGACGACGACGACAACGCGGCTCCCGGTTTGCGCCGCGACGGGCGCCGCGACGGGCGGCGGGGACGCTCTGGCCATGGTCGCGTTGAAGGCGGTGGCCGCGGCCAGGCTGACCCGGCGCAGCGCCTCGCGGTGCAGCGGAGGGAGGCCGGCTCGAGGAAGGAGGGGCGGGAGGAGGAGGAGGAGGAGGAGGAGGAGGAGGAGGGGCGGGAAGGAGGGGCGGGAGGAGGAGGAGGAGCAGGAGGTGGAGGAGGAGCAGGAGGAGGTTGGAGCGTCTGGGGGGGAGCACGGAAGCCAGATCGACAGCCCGCAAAGCCTCTCTCGCCAGGCTTTGGGCGGAGGCCTGAAGGAAGGGTGCAGGGTGGACCTTAACTACTCTCCTGGTGGGCCATCCGATGAGAAGGAGGAGGAGGAGGAGGAGGATAAGGATAAGGATAAGGATAAGCGCGTCGGGGACGTGCTCCAAGTCACAAGCCTCCAAAGGGCTGGAAACTGTCCCTGCAGGGGTTATGGATGCGGGCCCCAACCCTTCAGCTAAGGCCTGCCAGGGGCGCCTCTTTGGGCCAGGCCCGCGCGGGGGGGCCCCGCTGCAAGGAGCACGAGAGGAAACGGGAGGAGGGGGAAGGAGGAGGAGGAGGAGGAGGAGGAAAAGGAGGAGGAGGAGGACGAGGCGGAAGGAGAGGCGAGAGGGCTTTTCTCCAGATCCTGAAGATGCAATTCTTGTTCTCAGGGTGGCGCCCCGGCCTCCCTCCCAGACCTCGTCACTCTCAGGCCATTTCTTCCTTCCTTCAGTCCCTCCGTCCCTCCTTTGTTTGATTCACCCCTGCTCGGACCTGCTTCTACTCCGACTCACTCATACTCAGACTCACCCACACACAGACGCACTCCCACAACCTCTACACTGATACCTGGCTTACATCACATTCCGGTTCGCTCACACTCAGACCTACCACACCCCGTCTTACATCATATCCTGTGTATGGGGTTCCACGTTCCCATACTACTTTTCTCATTCGCACTGCTTTCCTCATTCGCCACTGCTTTCTGATTCGCTTCCTGTTCGAGTGATGCCACTGCATCTCTCTTTCGCAAACCTGGTCCCTCTCACTGAGACTCGTTCATACTCAGACTTACTCGTAGTATTAGACTCACACGTGCCCAGGTTCACTTACACTCACCCCTACACACACTCAGGTACACCCAGGCGTAGACTACTCATGCTCACTAACTTCTAGACTTACTCGTACGCAGACCCTCGAACATTGTGACTCACCCTGACTGAGACCCCTTCGAATCACATGCACTCAAACTCAATCATACGCAGACTCATACATACTCGGAATTGCTCACTCTCGGACTCACTCACACTCAGATCCGCTCTTACTCAAACTCACTCACACTTTTACTCACTCAGACTCAGACTCACTCAGACTAAGACTCACTCATCATTAGAACCGCCCATGATCAGACTCACTCACTTCCAGATCCTCAATAACGCTCAAGCCCATTCACAGTCAGCCTCATGTCCAGATTCACTCACGCTCAGACTCACTCGTGCTCGGACCCATTCACGCACAGACTCACTCGGACCTGCCACGGGGGCGCCGCCCGGGGGGGCATCGCACGGGCCCGTTCGCGTCCAGATCGGTGGGACCTCTCGTGCAGAGGGGAGGCGGTCTCACCCACCCCTCGCCCTCCCCCGCGCGCGCCTCCTTCTCCAGCTCGGTCGTCACCCACACCTCGGAGATACCTCATCGGCATCGCGATTGCGTGGGGCTTGCAGGGTGGGGGCTGACAGCACAACCGCGCGCTGAGAGAGGGAGCGGGTGCAGAGACCGGGAGGGGCCCAGACCTCTACACTTCCAGCGTCCGCGGGGGATCCTTGTCCACTGTTGACGACACTAGCCTGCGCTCCCTGAGCTGGTCACCCCAATGCGCAACAGAGAGAGAGCGTGAAACAGAAGGAGGAGGAGGACGGGAAAAGGAGATGCAGAGCCCGTGAAATGGGGGCCAGACGATGAGTTCACCCAGGGGCGCACCGGGGAGCCCCGGGGCGCTCAGCAGCTCGACTTTGAGCTGCCGAGGGCGGGGAGGAGAGCGAAGAGGAGGGCGAGCGCGAGGGCGAGGGCGAGGAGCAGGGCGAGGACGAGGAGGATGGCGAGCGAGGGGGGCGCGGGAGAGGGCGAGGAGGGCGAGCGAGGGGGGCGGCCGACTGCGAGGGCGCCCAGCAGCTCGCCCTCCCAGAGGCCCTCCACGTGATCCGCGAGGTCGTTGTCGATCTGGAGCAGGGATATGTCGCCGCCGAGGTCGGCCGCGCGCCGTCCACCGAGGCCGCTGGGCACATGCCAGCCGCGGCGACAGCGGAGCCGCTCCTCTTGGGGAGGGGGGGCGCGGTTGACATGGAGCTTCAGGGAGGGGGGATGGAGGAAAGGAGGAAGGGAGGGCCGGAGGTACGGAGTGGAGGCATGGAGGACTGGAGGAAGAGGAGGAGGAGGAGAAGGAGGAAGAGGAGGAGGAAGAGGGGGAGGAGGAGGAGGATGAGAGGAGGAGGAGGAGGGGAGGAGGAGGAGAGGGAGGAGAGGAGGAGGAGGGAGGAGGGGAGGGGGAAGGGGGGAGGGGAAGGGGGAGGGGAGGGGGGAGGGGGAGGAAGGGAGGAGGGTATGGGGGAGGAGTGTAGGAGGCACTCAGGCCGTGGAGCCCTCACCGAACTCTATCGTTCCGTCTCGGGCCCCGGGGCCCTCCCGGGACCCTCCAGGGGCCCGTGGAGCCCTCGCCGGCCCCATGGTCCCTCACCGTCTCGATCTGGCTCGAGAGACCAGGCAGAAGAATTGTGTCTGGTGCTCGGGACGACGGCGCTATGTGTTTTTTAACGACATGCAACGCCAGGGAACGCCAAGTGTCCACCTGCAGCGATCCTGGCCAAGCCAGTGATCCGGGCCATGGGTGGATAAGGGGTCCTCCGACTGCGGGTAACGGTCATGGGGCCAGCTTCGGGCCTCCCGGGTAGCCTCGCGGAAAGCTCCAGGGGAGCCTCGGGAAACCTCGGGGGAACAGCTCAGGGGGCCTCAGGAGGCCTCCTGAACTTTTGAAGGCCGCAGTGGATGGTACGCAGACGTCTCCGCTGCAAGCTTTCCGTTCGTGGTCCCGGGGGAGGGGCGGGACTCCTTCCAGCAGCCGAGCACAACTAGAGCTTGCTTCGGCACGACGGTGGCCGTGCCCCAGGTAACCTGTGGACCGTGCTCTGGCTGAGCTCGTGAGCGGATTCGGCAACAAGGGACCCGATGTGTGTCATCGCTGGTACGGGGGAGACGGGTATGTGTATGTGCGCAGGGGTGGGGGTCCGCTTCCTTCCCCCCCCTTCACGCTGCCGCCTGGCGGGCAGTCCGCTGGGCGGCATCTCCGCGTCGTCATCCACGCGGCGCTCTCCCTGGGCTTCGTCACCGCTTCCCTGCAGCGGGCCTCTCCGCCCACTCTCTTCTGCGCGTTCCCTGCCAATCTTTTCCAGCCCCTTCTCCCTCTCCTGGGTCTGCGCCGCGCCCCCGCAGAGGACCTGCAAGGCCTCTCTGCGACGGGCAGCCTTGCACCCCCCTGCCATCCACGCCCGCATGGTGTTGTGCCTCCTCTCACGGCCTCGCGATACGTCCCCGCCCAGCGTCGGGTGGCGCATCGCCTCCACGCACGCCATCCACGCCGGGATGGCAGGTTTGCTGCGGGCACGCATGGGGTCCAAAGTGATCTCGCCTGAGGGCCCGGCTGCGCGCGCACAGCCGCTCGACCTTACTCCGACGGATCGCCGCTCGCGAGGCCGCGGTCGCCAAGAGTGTGTTTGCCTGCTTATGTGCTTGTGTGCATGTATGTGAGTAAGTATGTACGTGTGTGTGTGTGTGTGCGTGCGTGCGTGCGTGCGTGGGTGCGTGAGTGCGTGCGAGCGTGCGTGAGTGTTTGCTTGCGTGCGTGCGTGCATGCGGGCGGGCGTGTGTGCGTGTGTGCGTGTGTGTGTTTGTGTTTGTGTGCGTGCGTGCGTGGAGTGTGTGCGTGCCTGTGTGAGTGTTCGTGTGTGTGCGTGTGCGTGCGTGTGTGTGTGTGTGCGTGCGTGTGCGCGTGCGTGTGTGTGTGTTTGTGCGTGCGTGTGTGTGTGCGTGTGTGCGTGTGTGTGTGTGTTTGTGATGTGTTGTGTGTTGTGTGTTGTGTGCTGTGAGTTGTGTGTTGTGTGCTGTGTGTTGTGTGTTGTGTGTTGTGTGTCGTGTGTTGTGTGTACGTGATGTGTGTGTGCGTGTGTGTGAATGTTTGTGCGTGCGTGCGTGCGTGCGTGTGCGTGCGTGCGTGCGTGCGTGTGTGTGTGTGTGTGTCGATGTGTGTGTGTGTGTCTCTACGTATGTGTGTGTTGTGCGTGTTGTGTGGGTCGTGTGTTGTGTATTGTGTATTGTGTATTGTGCGTTGTGTGTTGTGTGCTTGTGTGTTGTGCGTTGTGTATTGTGTGTGTTGTGTGTTGGGTGGTGTGTGTTGTGTGTCGTGTGCTGTGTGCTGTGTGTTGTGTGTACGTGATGTGTGTGTGCGTGTGTGTGAATGTGTGGTGTGTGATGTGTGTTGTGTTGAGTGTGTTGCGCGTGTGCGTGCGCGCGTGCGTGTGTGCGTGTGTGTGTGTGCGTATGTGTGTGTGTGTGCAAGCGTGCGTGCGTGCGGGTGTGCGGGCGGGCGGGCGGGCGGGCGGGCGTGCAGGCGCGCGGGCGTGCGGGCGTGCGGGCGTGCGCGTGCGCGTGCGCGTACGCGTGCCCTGCGCCTCCGCCTGCGCGTGCGCGTGCGCGTGCGCGTGCGCGTGTGCGCGTGCGTGTGCGCGTGCGTGTGCGAGTGCGTGTGGGTGTGCGTGTGCGTGTGCGTATGCATGTGCGTGTGCGTGTGCGTGTGCGTGTGCGCGGGCGCGTGCGTGTTCGGGTTCGTGTGCGTGTGCGCGTGCGTGTGCGTGCGAGCGTGCGTGTGCGTGTGCGTGCGCGCGTGCGCGTGTGCGTGCGCGTGTGCGTGCGCGTGTAAGTGTAAGTGTGTGCGTGGCTGTGTGCGTGTGTGTGTGGGCGTTTGGGCGTGCAGGTGTGTGCGTGCGTGCGTGCGTCCGTGCGTGCGTGCGTGCGTGCGTGCGTGTGCACGCGCGCAAGCGTGTGTGCGCGTGTGCGTATGTGCCTGTGTGCGTGTGTGTGTGTGTGTTGTGTGTGCGTGTGCCTGTGCATGTGCGTGTGCGTGTACGCGTGCGTGTGCGTGTGCGTGTGCGTACGCGTGCGCGTGTGCGCGTGCGTAAGCGTGTGCGTGTGCGTGTGCGTGTGCGTGCGCGTGCGCGTGCGTGTGCGTGTGGGGTGTGTGCTGTGTGTTGTGTGTTGTGTGGTGTGTGGTGTGTGGTGGGTGTTGTGTTGTGTGGTGTGTGTTGTGTGGTATGTGTTGTGTGGTGTGTGTGTGTTGTGCGTTGTGTGGTGCATGTTGTGTGTTGTGTGGTGCGTGCTGTGTGGTGTGGTATTGTGTGGTGCGTGGTGTGTGTGTGTGTTGCGCGTTGTGCGTTGTATGCTGTGTGTTGTGTACTGTGTGTGTGTTGTGTACTGTGTTGTGTGTGTTGTGTGTTGTGTTGTGTGTGGTTGTGTGTTGTGTGGTATGTGGTAAAAATGAATGTGTGGGGTGTGTGCGTGTGCGTGTGAATGCATGTGTGTGCGTGCGTGTGTGTGCGCGCGTGTGCGTGTGGGTGTGCGTGTGTACGTGCGTGTGTGAGAGAAAGTATGCGTGTTTGCGTGTGCGTGTGTGCGTGTGTGCGTGTGTGCGTGTCCGTGTGTGTGTGTGCGTGTGTGTGTGCGTGTGTGTGTGTGTGCGTGTGCGTGTGCGTGTGCGTGCGTGCGTGTGTTCGTGCGTGTGTGTGTGTGGGCGTTTGGGCGTGTGGGTGTGTGCGTGTGTGCGTGCATGCGTGCGCGTGTGCGTGCGTGCGTGCGTGCGCATGTGCATGTGCGCCTGTGTGCATGTGTGCGCATGTATGTTTGTGCGTGCGTGTGAGTGCGTGTGTGTCCATGCGTGCGTGTGTGCGTGTGTGTTTGTGTGTTTGTGTGTTTGTGTGTGCGTGTGTGCGTGTGTGCGTATTTGCGTGTGTGCGTGTGTGCGTGCGTGCATGTGTGCGTGTGTGCGTGTGTGCGTGGGTGCCTGTGTGCGTGTGTGTGTGTGTGTTTGTGTGTGTGCGTGCGTGGTGTGTGCGAGTGTGCGTGCGTGCGCGTGTGTGCATATATCCGTGCGTGCGTGTGTACGTGTGCTTGTGTGCGGCGTGTGTGCGCGTTGCGTGTGTGCGTGTGTGGGGGGGAGGCGTGCGTGTGAGCGTGCGTGCGTGCGCGTGCGTGTGTGTGTGTGCGCTCGCGTGTCTGTGAGTGTGCGTGCACGTGTGCGTGTGAGTGTGTGTGGTGTGTGTTGTCTGTGGTGTACGAATAGTGTGCGCTGTGCGTGTTGTGAGTATTGTGTATGTTGTGTGGTGCGTGTTGTGTGTTGCATGTGTGTTGTGCGTTGTGTGTACGTGTGTTGTGTGATGTGTGTTGTGTGCGTGTGCCTGTGCGTCTGCGTGTGCGTCTGCGCGTGCGTGTGTGTAGGTGTGTGTAAGTGTGTGTAAATGGGCGCGCGTGTAAGTGGGCGTGTGCGTTTGTGTGTGTCTGTGCGTGTGCGTGTGCGTGTGCGTGTGCGTGTGCCTGTGCCTGTGCCTGTGCCTATGCGTATGCGTTTGCGCGTGCGTGTGTGTGTGTGTGTGTGCGCGTGCGTGTGTGTGTGTGTGTGCGTGGGTGCGTCTGTGCCTGTAAGCGTGTATGTGTGCGCGTGCGTGCGGGCGTCTGTGTGTGCGTGCGTGTGCGCGTGTGTGTGCATGTGTGCGTGTGTGTGTGTGGGCGTGTGTGCGTTTGTGTGTGCGTGTGTGTGTGTGCGTGTGTGTGTGTGCGTGTGTGCGTGCGTGCGTGTGTGCGTGTTGTGTGTGCGTGCGTAACTCGGCTGTTCAGTCGCCGCAGCGCAGCAGCCTGTGGCCCCGCAGCAGCTGCAGCTCAGCAGCTCAGCTGTTGCAGCCCAACTGCTCAGCCGATCTGGCTGGCATCATGACAGAATTCTGCTGCACGGCCTAGTGGCCCCAACCCCCCATGGTCGCTCGCGTCCTGCTCGGGCCGTACCCTTGCAGCAAAGCCTGATTCCTACGGCCTCACGACGGACACCCGGATGCTCCCGGTCTGGCTGCTGTGGACTCGCTTGCCGCTCCCCCCCGCATTGGCACTACTTGAGCTAAGCTTTCTGCGCCTGCAGCCTCCGCTTCGACCCCTGGGTGGGGCCGCGATGCCTCTCCGCGTCCACTGCCAGGCTGCCTCGGCACAGGCTGGCCGCACCCGCCACTCCTGACGAAGGCCTTCGTGCAGTGAGCGCCCTCTCGCTTTCACCCGCCCCCCGCAGCCGTCCTCCGCCTCCTTCTCCCCGCTTGCAGCCAGACAATCAGCCTGGCCGCCCCTGGCCAACTAGAGCGCGCGTGCGGATCACATTTGCCGCGCTGCGACGGTAAGAGTGTGTAAGTGCGTTTGCGCGTGCTGCATGTATGCGTGTGTGCGTGTCTGCGTGTGTGCGTGTATGCGTGCATGCGTGTGTGCGTGTAAGCGTGTGTGTGTGTGTGTGCGTGTGTGCGTATGTGCGTGTGTGTGTGTGTGTGTGTGCGTGTGTGGGTGTGTGTGCGTGCGCGTGTATGCGTATGTGAGCATGTGTGCGCGTGTGTGCGCGTGTGTGCGCGTATGCGTGTAAACGTTTGTGTGTGTGTGTCTGTGCGTGTGTGTGCGTGTTTTTTGTGTGCAGATATCGTGTGTTGTGTGTTGTCTGTTGTGTACTGTGTGTTGTGTGTTGCTTGCTGTGTGCTGTTTGTGTTGTGTTGTGTGTTGTGTGGTGTGTGTTGCGTGTTGTGTGTTGTGGATTGTGTGGTTTGTGTTGTGTGCTGCGTGTGCTGTGTGTTGTGTTGTTTGTTGTGCGTTGTGTGGTGTGTTGTGTGTGGTGTGTGTGTGTGGTTGTATGTTGTGTGTTGTGAGGTGTCTTGTGTGCGTTGAGTGTTGTGTATTGTGTGTTGTGTGCTGTGTGCTGTGTGTTGTGTGTTGTCTGTTGTCTGTTGTCTGGTGTCTATTATGTGCTGTGTGCTGCGTGTTGTCTGGTGTGTGTTGTGTGGTGCGTGGGGTCTCCGTGTTGTGTATTGCGTGTTGTGTGCTGTGTATTATGTGATGTGTGCCGTGTGGTGTGTGGTGTGTGCTGTGTGGTGTGTTGTGTGTGTTGTGGGTTGTACGTTGTGTGGTGTGTGTTGTATGGTGTATGGTGTGTATTGTGGTTTGTGGGTTGTGTGGTGTGCGTTGTGTGTTGTGTGTTGTGCGTTCTGTGTGTTGTGTGCTGTGTGTTGCGTGTTGTGCAATACGTCTTGTGTGTTGTGTGTTGTGTTTGCTGTGTGGTGTGTGTTGTGTCGTGTGTTTTGTGTTGTGTGTTGTGTGTTGTGTGCGTTGTGCGCTGTGTGTTGTGGTGTTGTGTGTTGTGTGTTGCTTGTTGTGCGTTGCGCGTCTGTGTGCAAGTGCGTTTGTATGCAAGCGTGTGAGTGTGAATGTCTTTGTCGGTGAATGTGTGGGTGTGTGAGTGTGCGGGTATGTGAGTGTATGAGTGTGT